TGTGTGTGTGTGTGTGTGTGTGTGTGTGTGTGTGTGTGTGTGTGTATTTTTCAGTGGGGATTGAGCCCAGAGACTTGTGCATGCCAGGCAGTCTGCTACTGAGCCATACCTCTAGCCCTTTTTATTTCAGACAGGGATTTCCTCAAATTGCCTGCTAGCCTTGATCTTGGTATCCTTGTGCCTCAATTTCACAAGTAACTGGAAATATGGGTGTACACTACCACACCTGGGTGTAATCAGAATTTTTTAATTACTGTTGATTTTGAGGAGTCTTTTCAGATAGCCACAATTTACTTACTTTTCTTTTTTCATACTGATAGTATCTCGTTTTAACCCGAGTAACCTCTTCCTATTTTTATTTCTATTTTCTGTTCTTGAGGCAATAGGAAAAGTGACTTTCAAAACAGTTTTTATATACTTACTTCTATGGTGTTCCCTAATTCTTAAAAAAAAAAAAAAAGCATTAACAAAATTGCCATCCTAAAAGTACAGTACTAGGCAACCCTGTCCTTAAATTTCATAATCTTCCTTTATAATGGGTCAAATTCATAATCACCTAACAACTACAAGTGTTTTCTGTTGTAGTCAAAGAGTTCTACAAGAATATCTTTTATTCAAGAAACATTTATCAAGTGCCTAATATATACAAGGTTTTGGAGAATGAGACAGCATGGCCATAATTTATCTAGGACAGTTCCAGTTTACACTTTCTTGGTATAAATATTAATATAACCTTCCTTCTTTTCACTGAAAAGAATCTTGGTTCAGGCAATACATTACATGGCTATCCTAAACAAAATGATTATAATTTACCCTCAAAGAGTTCAGTTTAGTAGGACACAGGCACATGTATAATAGATAATAATTCTAGAAGAGTATGATGAATCACAAATCACAGTTATAAACATGATGTTATGGGAATAAATGCTTTCATTTCATATTTTTATGGATGTTTTTCTCAACTTTGTGGTTTACAACCCTGTTATACAAATGAGGCCAACAGTAGTATAGTACCAAGTTTACCATCTGGAAGCTTATCAGAAATGTAGAATTCTCAGGTCTCACCCCAGACCTACTAAAAGCACAACATGCATTTTATGTGACCCCAGATTATCTAAAGTCATAGAACCAATGGTTTCTAAGATATGGGTACAAATAACATGAATGAGCCAAAAGTGATTCTGGGTATAATTTTTATTCATAAGGACTTAAATAAATCATGGTTAACAGTGAGAAAATCATTCTTCTCAATTTTCAGATGGTGGAATACACTGGTACAAAAATACTATTGTTATGTAAGGCTTTTCTTTCCTTTTTCCTCATGTAAGATGATCTAAATTGTCCACAGCCCTTATCTTCTTTAGATTTTAAGTTCCTTTAATAGACTCTGGATTGTCTTTGAGAAAAGGATCAACTGACAACAAATTATCCATGAATTACACAGACTGTAAAGAGTCATGCATTAAATCTTGTTGCTATGGAGATCACATTTAAGTTTCTTTATGAAAGTTAAAACATTGTAGGAATGATGATGACCTTTTACATATGTAAGATAAGGGAGTGTATATCAGAATTGAGTTTGAAAACTTCCCTTTGGAACTAAAAAAATAAAAAACAATGGCTCATCTAATCATTATAGAAACACATTTCTCTTGCTTTGAGAAAAGTTTTTACATAGTGTAAGAATTGCTGGATGACTCAAACTTTCCCCGCAACTCTCAGAAACTCCATGCCCACAAACTCTCCAAAGATAAAGAAAGCATTACCTTTAATTGTTGCTGCAGTTCACTATTCAATCTGGCCAACACTGTGTTGGTCTCCTTATTACGTCTAATTGATGCCTGAATAGCTTTTTTGTCTTTCCCAACAGATCTGAAAAGACAAAAGGGGCAAAAAGTATAACCTTTCTTTCTTTTAAATCTCTTCATTTTTCCCTGATTTAATTCTAAGCACAGAGGACAGGGAGCATCTCTTCCCTTATTAGCACAGCTCAACCTCACCTGCTCTTCTGCAATGGCCAACCAAAGGTACCTAAGCTTATGAGGCTCAAGTTTAATGTTGTTATTGTGCTAATTACTATTAGACATCTGGCTTTTAAGTTAAAAATCTAGAGCAGGCAGTGGCGAATTTTTTCTGTAAGCAGCCAAATAAATATT